AGCTCAGGCCTTTCCCGACCCCACACTGCTAGCAGGACCAGAGGAAGGAGTGGCGGGTTTGGTCTCCTCCCAGTTTCCCACATTTGGGAAAGCATTCTGCTTTTTTATTTCTTGGTGATAGAGGGGAGATCCCTAAACCTTGAAACACCTACATGTATCTCTCTGTGATACCAGCTCCTGATTGCTATGGAGACATTTTCCAAAATGCCAGACTATTTGGGGCAAATTATACTCTTGGAGGGCTTTCCAGAGTGGTCCTTGGTTTGATAGTTTCATAAGAGTTCTCTCCCATTTATCCAGGTAGCATTGTTAGATATTTTGGATTCCAAGTAGAAAGTTATTGCCTATTTCTGTATTTGAAGTAGTTGGATTCTATAAACTTTTTCCTGTTTTAAAAAAAGGTTCAGATTTATAAAGACCTCTCAGCAGCCCCCACTTCTCTGTGTTATTGTCGTTACAGATGCGGATGACTGTCCAGGCGACAGGGAGAGTCGCAAGGACTTGGTTCTCATTGACTCACTTTTCATCATGGATCAGTTCAAAGCTGCCGAGAGGATGAATGTCGGGAAGCCAAATGCCAAGGACATTGCGGACGTCACTGCGGTGGCTGAAGCCATCCTGCCCAAGGGCAGTGCTCGGGTCACAACCTCGGTGAGGCGCTGAGCTTTTCAAGTGTGGGATGGGCCTTTGAGAGACAGAGCACATAGCTTAGCCATGAGAAAAGCTTTTCCTCTTCCCAGTGAAGTGCTCTATCCCAACTACAGAGTTGTCAGAAAAAGCAATTCTTCATGTGCCTGTAGTCCCAGCTACTCAGGAGGCTGAGGCAGGAGGATTGCTTCAGCCCAGATGTTCAGGTGTTGAAGACCAGCTTGGGTGACATAGCGAGACTTGGTCTCCAAAAGAAGCAATTCTTCCTCTTCCTGTTTTCTGTAGATCATTTTTGTGGCTTTCTAATCGGTTTATAGTGTGACTTTGGTTTCCGTTTTTAGAAAAAGTTTGGTGATTGTTTTGACCAGCAGCCACTCTTTGATCTGTTCATCGCTGCAGGTCAAGTTTAATGCTCCGCCTCTATTGTACGGGGCTCTCAGAGATTATCAGAAGATTGGCCTGGACTGGCTGGCCAAGCTCTACAGGAAGAATCTCAATGGCATATTGGCAGATGAAGCTGGACTGGGTAAAACAGTGCAGATCATTGCTTTTTTTGCCCACTTAGCTTGTAACGAAGGTAAGAGTTTGCTAGTTTTTTGAACAATACCTATTTGCTAAGACTTACCCATAGGCCAGTGTGTTTGATGGGAGTGTGGGGACTTGGCCATCTTATCTACTTCTTTGCTTCTGTCCTTTGACCTGAGCAAATTGAGGCTCAGAAGTATTCATTGTATGAATGAATAAAAAACTAGTTCACAGTTAACATCCAGTAACTATTAGTGAAAATCTAATACAATGCAGAGACTCATCAGGCTGTGACTGAACCTTGTGACTCCAGGGTCAGGTCACCGTGCAGTGTGTGGGCAGCAGAGCAGGTGGTCCACTTCCCTTGCTGCTTCTAGACTGGCACGAACCCCGCTGTAGGGCTCTCAACTGTGTGGGGTGGTTTGTGGCACGCATCCTGGCTCACTGTATCCTTTTCGTGTTACTATGTGCACGCCTCCACTTGTCCCTCTTGCTGGATTTCACCTGTCAGTGGGGCAGCATTTCTGATCCACTGCTCGGGTTCCTTAGGGAACGGGCCTGGGTACCCTGTGGGGGCTCAGCCTCTGCATGGCAGCCCCACCTGGTTCTTCACCCTCTTGACACTTCTGACTGGCACACAGGTTGTGTGGGCCCTCTGGCCTCCTTTCCAGTCTTTAGAGTCAGCTCCCTGTTCACTGCCTTCCTATCTTGGCTTTTAGGTCAGGTGCCCACCTTAGTCTCCTGCTCTGTGCCTAGCTGCAGAAGAAGGTGTGACTTGTGTCTCTAACACAGGACAAGGTTTCACTGTTCTTGCTCTTGTAAGAGAAATGTTCAGTAAACATCTTGGAATGTGGTTCCCACTGTATGTTCCAGACTTAAAGCAGGCTTTGCTATTCCTGCAGAGAAGAGGGGACGTGGCCTCATCTTCATATTTGAGCTTTGAGAGTAAAGATGGGCCGGGCGCGGTGGCTCAAGCCTGTAATCCCAGCACTTTGGGAGGCCGAGG